TCCCTAAATAGCATTAAACATTGCATTCTTGTACTTCGCAAATATCACATGTTGAATAAGTTGAATTTGTTAAATGATAATATCAAATTATAATGAAGAAACTTAATATCAAATAATAATATTTCAAAGTCCGGAGTTCCCGCGCATTACTAGCTTTGACCGTTACATGGAGATCCATTCAAACTTCAAATTACCTGAAGGGTTTTTGGACTTCACCAGTGTTACCTCTTCCCCAACGGTATCGGGATTAGAGTTGGTCTTTTTATGGCAGACTACAGTTGTTGAACGATGACTGGTGGACYGTTCTGGCGAAGGGGAATTATATTTGCATCAAATGAGGATGCAGGCGACCTCTGACCCCTCTCTTCGTATTCATCATACGTTTCATCATCATCTGATGTCCTGATGAMATTGAATCATCTGTGTATTGTAAAGAAGCACGAAATTTATGTCCGCACGTAGTATTTTTTTGCGACATGATGACTTCTCAAATCTTCAACGTCCATCCAACGTAATACAGGAAAGACGAAGAGGAATGTAGCAAGTGCTCGAAGCATTCTATTACATATCTCACCAGATGACAACAGGAGACTAGTCTCCTCTACTAACTCTGATGACAACTATATGATTGACTAGTCAATTTACCATTGCTTCTTATTGGCTGATTTTACATGAGGTTAATTCTGATTGGCTTATTTTCCCGCCTTGCATTTTGCTGGCTTTTCAGCTACGGTCTGGACTCAGTCGGGGTGGTCTCGTGCGACATTCATTGGGCTGGCTCCTATCCCTGTGTATGTCAAAAAAGAAACAACACCACTCGTTCTTCCTTATGTCATTGCTCTGCTAAAAAAGGTGTTCATGTACATTGTATTTGTTCTTCRTGTAATGGGAAGGCTGCAAATTATCGAACTCAAATTTCTCATCTCCAAAGAGAAGCAAGAGAGACCGTCCAAGTTGTCGAAGATAACAATGTGAACTCCGAAAACAATTTGGGTAAGTAATTAACTTTAATATAAAAATTAGGTAACACCTAATAGCGGAGCTCCAATAGCAATATAGAAGCTGAAAATGATTATCTGGTACTGCTATTTCAAAGGTAGATGSTCTGTTCTAAGGAATGTGAGCTACAACAGTTTTGTTGACATGCGAACAAATATCATAAAGATTATGTTTATGAGAMTTTAGTTCGTACTAATATTGACTTCGGTAGATTTTGTACCGTTGGATGAAGTTTAAAATTATAATCTATTTAGGTCAATTGATTAAAAGTAAACTGAAAGCTTCTCGGCAAAAAGTAGTCTACATAAGCTTACAATAATCAACATTGTTTCAATAATCGATGTTTGAACCCGGACTACTCGAACTTCACATACATATCGAAAACTGTATACAAAAATATATTGTTTACCTTCATTATCGAACTTCCGATAAATTATCGTTCAAAGGTCATCTTCAACAGAGCCATACTTGTTTCAAGCATGGGTTTCATCAATTTATTAAGTCATTCAAGACTGTAGATTCTTTGTTTTTAATCTCTCTCAATCTAACTGCTAGCATGGTCTTGGTTTCGAAATGTCCACACTTTTAGTCGACAAAAGAACTTCGCATAGATCCCTGCTTTTTCCCATATTGGTCCATATTATTGAAGTATTTCCAATAAAGTATCATCTCTTTCTTGTTGTCGAAATATCAAAGTAAAATCCTTTTTTCTAATATCACTTTTAAGATGGGCCTAAATTGCTTTTCATCT